TGGACATATTGTCAGGAGGGACCAATCGCTGGAGAAGGATATCATGTTTGGTAAGGTGGAGGGTCAGAGAAAATGAGGAAGACCCCCAACGAGATTGATAGGCCAAGTGGCAACATGGATGGACTCAAGCGTGGCAACGGTAGTGAGGTTGGCTCAGGATCGGGCAGTGTTTCGTTCTGCTGTGCATAAGGTTGCTATGGGTCGGTACCGACTCGATGGCACCTAACAACAACAACAACTCACCAAAGTAGAATGTAGAACGTTGTCTTTGTGGTCTATGTTATGCCAGTTGATCAGGGTGAGTCAAAAAGTATTGCTACAAAATTATGAGAACTTTATTAAACAAAACATCAAAATGTGGAGCTATTGTTGCTCAGCACATCCTCCATCTAGGTCTATATACTTCTGAAGGTGGTGTTTCCATGTTTCTAACCCTTTCCGGACAAATTCTATGCTCTTTGTTTTATCCTTGAGGGACTCAATTCAATGCCACCATTTATGAGATGTGTGAGTTTATTAGGTGTGTCATTTAACCTCTCTAAGCCTCCATATTTACTCCATGCCAGACAGCAAGGGCACTAAGATATGCAGAACTAAATAAGAGCCTTGCCTTTGGGGAGCTTCAGTCTGTTGGGTGATCGGATGGGTGTTCCTCAAATAATTGCACAAGTATAAAATTGGAAAGGTGATCCGTGCTACAAAAAATGACAATGCTAATGAGAATGTGTAATAGGAGATTTGACCTATTCAATAAGGTTAAGGAGGGCTTCTCTGGGGAAGTGACACTCACACTGAGATCTGAAGAATCAGTCCTGGCACAAGAAGAAGACCTAAACATGATATTGGCTTCAGGGCTTATCGCATCTTGTTATGAATATTGTGCTGGGAACTGAGAGACCTGGCTAAGGGAAGTAGGGGTAGTGAAGACAGAGATATAGCCTTGGACCTGGAGGCAGGGAGCAGAGCAGCCTGTTGGTAATTTGCATACAAGCACCATCCTTCAGGCTAGCTGTATCCCTGTGTCACACAAATACCAGAAGCATCAAAGACTGGGAGAATATAGTCATGCACCACATAACGCCCATGCAGGCAGTATCTGACTGCATATACGTCAATGTCTCAGCCCCCTTAAAGCCCATTATAATCCTGGTGTGTCGCTGTAGGATAAGCACTGGACCGCAAGTTCGATTTAAACCGCAAAATCTGTGGTTCAAGTTCTCAGCAGCTCCTCGGAAACCCTCGGCAGTTGCTATGAGTCAGAACTGACTCGATGGCACTTAACAACAACAAGGTACATACAATGGTTCATAATAACAAGAGGGGGCTACTTTGCGAACATACATCAAAGTATAATTATTACTGTATTGTTATGGTAAAGTGGAGTCTTGGTATGGTGCTGTAGGATAAACTCAGGACCACATGGTCAGTTTGAACCACAAGGTAGGCAGTGGTTCAAACTCACCAGTCGCTCCTTGGAAACCCTATACAGGGTCGCTAGGAATCACAACTGACTCAATGGCACGTAACAACAATGATAATGGTAAAGAGGTTTTAATATCTCTGGGATGTTTCTTTAATTTTTTTGTGCGTAGAAAATACACTATACACTGTATGCTAAGACAAACATTTGACCAACTGACGTTAGATATGAACTAAACATAATTATTACGATTTAGGTACGATTTCAATTTAAAAACAGATTTAAGACAGGAACACATTTGGAATCTGGGGATTTCCTGTAGAAGCTAACCTCTTCATCATGACCTACAACACTATGGTGTTTGCACAATGCCTAAATCACAATGTCCTGTGTCACAGAATGTATCATGGGAGTAAGTGACATATGACTGTATATTAAGGGCTTAAGGGGGAAATGTGGGCTAGGCATTGGGCTGCTAACCACAAGGTCTGTGGTTCAAACCCACCAGGCATTCTGAGAGACAAAGACGAGACTGTCTGCTCCTGTAAAGATTTACAGTCTCGGAAACACTATGTAGGATTGTTACGAGTAGGAATTGACTCAGTGGCATTGTGTGTAGGGAGTGGGGGGTGGGGGGTTGGGGGAGGGAGAGTTAGGTGGAATGTGACCAGGTGGAAAGCCTTCCAAATTAATGGCAGTATTGACCTTGCTTAAGCTAGCAACCTAGCCCCATTGAACACCCCCCACTCCCCTAAAACCACACCCTCTGGTATCTCAGATGAACCTTTAGGTGGGGCTGAGAGCAAGACTGTTTTTCCACTGGAGGACATGAGTCAGTGAACAATGAGATTCCACTTAATCACAACCCCAAAACATGTCCTTAAAATCAGGAGCTAGAAAAGAAAGGAAATGATTACATAAAAGTCAGGATAGTGATTACTCCTCAGTGGGAGCCTGATGGGAAAGGGACAAGTAGGGGTCTTCACTGCTGGGTCTGGCAATATTTTTTCGTGATTTGGGTGGCAGTTGCACTGGGATTTATTTTATATTTAGTCACTGCACTGTGCCGGCTTTATGCACTTTTCTAAATGTATTGTTATATTTCACAATTTTAAACAGAAATAAGACAAAGTATAGAAGATTTTTAAGCAGGAGAAAATGGTCAGATTTATATTATTAAAAGACCACTTGAGTGCTGAATGGAATGTTGACTAAAGTGGGGCATCGCTAGAGAGAGAAATTCATTAGGAGGTGGCTGCTATAATTTGGGTGAAAGATCTTAATGACCTGAGATATGAAAAGGAAAACTTTTATGGATATAATTTACATTCTTTTTTAAAGCACAACCAAAATAAAACAGAGGCTGCTCCTCACTTTTTACCTCTATGCCTTGGTTGAATTTGGCTTAGGAGTTATAGGCCAGGAACAGGTGCATGTCTAAGATAACTTTACCCAGAGAGCTAGGAGAACTTGAGAGCTTTTTTTGTTGTTGTTGTTGTTTTTTTTTCTTTTCATGATAACCACAATATTATCTGAGCTTAAGTGGTCCCTATCATAATATTTGATCACTCAATCATAACAGTTAATCACTCAAGACTTTACAGAATGTTTTCACATTACTATTGTGTACCAGAGTGCGAACTCCTTGAGGGCAAAGATTCTTGTTTATTTTGTTGACTGTTATAGAGTCCTGGTGTGGTGCTGTAGGATCAGGATTGGACTGCTAACCTCAAGGTCAGTGGTTCAAACTTACCAGACACTCCTCCAAAACCTTATACAGGGTCGCTATGAGTTGGAACCGATTCAATGGCACTTAGCAATAACAACAACCTACTCTTAGAGGCTTTGTAACATAAACGCTGGACTATGAACCACAAGGTTGACAGTTCAAGCTCACCAGGCCCTTCTCAGGAGAAAGATGAGGATTTTTGCTTCTGCAAAGATTTACAGCCTTGGAAACCCTATGCATGGTCGAGATGAGCTGGTACTGACTCAACAGCACTTACTAACAAAATACCCTTAGTGACCAACACTACATAGCAGGTGCTCTATAAATATTGTTGAATAAATGACCAGATTGAATTATTAGTAGTACTTAATAATCACAACAATCCTGTGAGATTAGGGAGGGCATCAACAATTATCCCCATTTCATAAGTTAGAAAACAGAGACTTCAGGGAAGCTTAAGCAACATGTCAAGTAATCTAGAATTTAATTGGCAACAGAATCACGATTTAATTTCAGGTTTTTGTTCTTCAGTTCCCTTAGTTTTGTTTTTTCACTTTTCTGCAGCTGAAGAGCTAAGGTATGAAGTTATTACAGCTCTGAAATACTAGCTGAAAGTATTACAAAATGCATGATCGGTCCTCTCAGACACCCTATGTGATCTGATGTTCTCTGTATAAGATGAAGAAGACCTATCCAGCTGATCACTGCATTAGTCACCACCGGTCCCTTAGAGGAGACATAACCATGTTCATCGGAATCATCAAAACCAGTTCATCCTCATACTCAATGTTTCTTTCATCCCTTCCCTTCTTCCTGCTCTCCACCCAAGTGAAAGAAGGTTAAGGAAATCCTATTATTGCAATAACATATTTTCTAATAGTTTTCTTCACCCAAAAGAAAAGAAATGTGTCAGGTTTAAAAAAAAAAAAAAAAAAATCTATGTCATCCAAGTAGAATCCCAAGGGAAGGCTAAAAATGTTCATTGAGCAATGAAACCTTAGTCTCTTTCCTATTAATATGAAACAAAATTAGTAATTTGAAGCATTAACCACAACTCAGATACCTGGGGAACTCTGCAATTAACATTGGTATTTATACAACTAGAACCACATATGTCTTCTATTGGATTCCTAGTTAAGTTCCAGGAAATAGCAAACACAATGATCAAAGCCTGTATTTTGGAGCTAATAACCAAGATACATACAGACTACTCAGGGAAGTCAATTTTTAGGTTACCTTCCTTCCCTCCTCTCGCCTCCAAGTCTGACATTCACTTTATCCCAAGAACCTTTGGTCTAAGAAACATGGACCATCAGAATCAGTTGAATAGTCAAGGTAACCACTGTGACAGTGTTACATCCAGGACTCACCAGAAATTCAGTGGCAAACTTTTCTTTCTTAATTTTCTTATCCCGTGCCTCATTCAGGAACTTCTGCAAAATTTCTCTTTGGTCCATGCTGCAGAGCAAGAGGAGCAATCTAGGAGCAGTTTGAGAGAGGGCATGTCAAATGTGTGTCATGGCTAAGACACCATGGAGAAGCTGCTGCTGCTGCTTGAGCAGAGCATGCTGAAAGCTGTGGTTTACTGACTTCATCACAGGCACTAGAGGAAATTAGTGCGTAACCAGTCTCTGTGGTCACACAACAGCCAGCATCTCACTGCAGGGCCCTAGCGCCTTCATTTTCAACAGAGAAACCTGGTTAGAATTCAAGTTTTTAATAAACAAGCGGCTAACCAGAATGTGGTCTGCTTAGCTCAGAGACTGTTCCACTCTATATTCAAACAAAATTTACCTCGCTTCTTGTTTCCCAGAGAAAAAAGCACCATTAACCGTCTTGTGGAGGGATTCTGCCTCGCCCTATGATACCAACAAGCATGGTTGACACCTTTTGTTTTCTTGGTTTTCAAATTAACTCTGCAAAATTCAGTCAGGCCCAGAAACAGACACTGGAACTATTTGGAGTGGCTCAACTTTGGGAGAGAGTCTTTATCCAAAGATTTCTTGCCTGTGTGATCAATGGCAGAGTCCTAGTATGGCGTGGTAGAATAAGCACTGGACTGGTAACCACAAACTCAGCAGTTCAAACCCACTATCTGCTCAAAAACCCAACCCAAGGTCACTGTAAGTTGAAACCAACTCAACTGCACTTAACAACAAGGTGATCAATGGCAAATTGCTATTCATCAGAGAAGGTATTTTTATTCAGAATTTTAATTCTTAAATTCCCCATCTAGACCTCAAACTTTCCTTGTTGTTGTTGTTAAGTACCATGGAGTCAGTTCTGACTCAAAGTGACCCTGCACAGGGTGTCGGAGGCTGTAAATCTTAATGGGAGCAGAAAGCTTCATCTTTCTCCCTCGGAACGGCTGGTAGTTTCGAACTGCTGACTGATTTGTAATGGGATGTAGCAAAAAGTCAGCTGCTTCTGACAGTTGATGCCTCTCCCAGGGTGGGGGAAGTGTTGATCTCAATTAAGGGAAGTGTGGATTTCAAGATCGTCCCCACCCCTTGTTGGTTTTTGAGCTTCACTTGGAGGTAAAGACTGAGGGTATGGGATCTGGAACATAGTAAAAACCCAGCAAGAGTACCTGGCAGGAAAATGTCAGTTGTTATTGTTTGTTAAGTGCCATTGGACTCCTATTGACCCTAAGGTTTCCAAAGAGCAGTTGGTGGATTTGAACCTCTAACCCTGTGGTTAGCAGTCCAGTACTTATCATACAGCTTCACACCAGAACTCCAACACAAATGTCATACTATCCCCCATTTGTAAGGTTGGTAAACTGAGGGAACAGAAAGAAAGTAAAAACAATCATCTTGCTGGCAGCAGTTTTATTTTCAGCGCAGAAAGGAAGACATTTCTACTCTGCGATCAAGGCTTTGTTTCAGAAAGTCATGCTATTTCTGTGGCAGTCCAGCCCAGTCTGGCAAGCAAGCTGTTCCGGAAGAAACTTTTACTTCTCAGTTTGCATAAGTCCTTTTCTCAGTGGATACCAATCTATCCAAGAGTGTCTAAATCAGTGAGAGAATAGCCACAAAGCTGCATATTGCCTCTGTTGGAGGGTTGTTGTTGTTAAGTGGTGTCTAGTCGGTTCCTACCCATAGCGACCCTGTATAGGGTTTCTGAGGCTGTAAATCTTTACAGGAGCTGAAAGCCTCATCTTTCTCCCAGAGAGTAGCTGGTAGTTTCGAACTGCTGACCTTAATGTTCGCAGCCCCATTTGTAATACTACGCTACCAGAGCTCCTGTTGGAGGGTAGAAGTTCATTAAAGGATATGTTAACAACATTCTAAAATAATTCTGAAGAAAACTGGGAAATACATTATTGTTGTTAAGTGTCGTCGAGTCGTTTTCAACTCTCAGTGACCCTATATAGGATTTCTAAGGAGCAACTGGTGAGTTTGAACCACTGATCTTGCATTTCAAACTGACCTTTTGGTCCAGTGCTTATCTGCAGCACCATACCAGGACTTCCAAAATAATCCTGAAGAAAACTGGGAAATGCATTGTTAGGACTTCCTTATTTAAGATAATAATAATTTTCTCTGTTTTGCAAGATTATTCAACTTCCCTTTAGGAAATCATGATCTGGATACTATTGGGCTGCTTCCATTTCTTTGAGCCCTACAAAAGGAAAAAGAAAGATCATTGAGACATCTTGGTTATAGGCAGCCAACTTGAAGCCAATATTCCAAATAAAGAATGTTGATACTAATTATGTAAATTAAAATGAAGCATATGCATAAAGTAAATTTTGCTGGGAGTAGTCTGCTATTGTAGTTGCATGCTATTGAGTGGGTTCCTATACATAGAGACCCGTGTAAGGTTTCTGAGGCTGTAAATCTTCGTGGGAGCAGTTAGCAGTCCAATCTGTAATCTACTGTGTCACCAAGAGTCCTCTGGGATTATAATGGTAAGTAGTTCTCAAATTGACCCCCCATCGAGACTTAACGAAGAGTTTCTTATTGCTTTTAGCAATGCAATGTTTGATTTGGTTATTTTAAAACATAAAATATGGAAAGTTTAGCATCTTTTTAAAGTATAAAATTTCAAGTTCACAACAACATGTAACTGTAAAAGTGTATATGGTGGTTTGCATGTGCTGTGGTTTAAAATATTTTTCTTTTATTATGTCACTTTAGAGAAAAACACAAAAATCCATGAATTCAACAAATGTTTTGAGTATGCACTAAATACTAAAAGCGCTGTTAGGAACTGGGTATAGAATGGTGAACAAACCAGAATTTGGTTAAAAAACAAACAAAACCAAAACATACTAACCTAGTTAACAAAGCATTTCAAAACTAAAGACATAGACTTAGGCAGCATCAATGGGCTTAAGCGTGACAACAACAGTGAGGTTGGCCCAGGATCGGGCAGTGTTTCGTTCTGCTGTGCAAAAGGTCACTAGGAGTCGGTACTGACTCGATGGCACCTAACAACAACAATAACAACTGATAAAAATAAAAACATTCCAAATTAACTTTCTTATTTTCCAAGTAACAAAGTATAGCCCTAGAAGGAAATGGTTCTCTAGTTTTGAACAAATAAAATATTCATAATTTCATAATCTTTCTGCCCCCTTGGAATGTCCTCACTGCCATTTAAAAACCAGAACTTTATTAATTAAAGATGCCTCATAAAATTTAAATCAATATTCCTTAAACCCATGGTGATTATGGTGGTTATGTGCCGTGGAGTCGGTTCTGACTCACAGCGACCCTATACAGGGTTTATGAGGCTGTACAGGGTTTCTTTAAGCCCATATTTCAGAACAATCTCAACTTTATTAGTAGCTGATTAATAGTTTCTTCAAGAAGAGGGAGAGAGGTATATACTTGGAGGTCATCCATAGTTCTTTTATCTCAAATCTGAGGAGGTGATAATAGAGTCTTAGTGGACTCCATTTAAAAAAGAAAAAATAAGCAGTAATCCTTAGGTGTCTGTTCCATTGTAAAACCAAATGGTATAGAAACATCGTGAAATAACTAAACCTCAAAAACCCACTAAGCTACAAGGCCATTTCCTGATCAGACCACTCAAGAGAACAAAAAACAACCTGAAAGAGAAAACAAAAAAAACCTTCAGTTATTTATTTATTTATTTTTTAAACAAATCTAAACCTAGTACTTAATCTTTCATACTTCCATCTCCTGATACTGGAGGTCAATAGGAACATAATGCTTTTTGGTGAGGATTGTGTTGACTCATTTGTATCATATATAGGAAGATCAAAAGTTGGGGAGGGGAACAAGTCATGCAGCAAGGATCAGCAAATACATAATATAAGAACTTAAAATGAAACATTTAAACCAGTCTGACATAAATCCTAAGTAGGAACAACAATTCTGTGTAGTAAAAGATACTGTATCAGAGGCATCAAGAGTGAGCTCCAGTAGGAAGTGAAATTGTGAATAGACACTTAAAGAGGAGTTATGAAGGAGGTGCCACTCACACAGGCTCTGGTGTTTGGTCAGAAAGAAGATGACAATAGAGAAGAGTGCTGATCACACTGTCACCTACTCCAATAAAAAGGGAATGTGTCAGTGTAAGGAGGCAACATCAGTATCATGGAGATCAGGAACTAGGTAACCATAATTTTGAATCAAAGAGAAATGGAGTGCTGTGTGGTGCTGCAGGATAATGTACTGCACTGCAAGGACAGCTTGAACGGCAAGGTCGACGGTTCAAACCCACAAGTCACTCCTCAGAGACCGTATACAGAGTCACTATGGGTCAAAACTGACTCAAAGTTACACACCAACAACAATCAGGGAATAGTATCAGTCAAGATAATCTGCTTAATGGAAAAGACATTATTTTTCTTTCTGTGAAGAGGCATGCATTACCCTGGAGAAACCATTTTAACCAGTCAAATTTTAGTTTGACCGCTTTTGCCTTTGTCTACATCCAGCATCATTGATTTGATATGGACTAGGTGTACTAGCCATAAGATGCTCAGTCTTTTGTAAACATCCTCTTGGCCACTGTGGTGTTACCTGCTGTAACAGAAATGCCACAAATGGGTGACTTTAACAAACAGAAATGCGTTTTCTCACAGTTTAGGAGGGTGTGGGGTCTAGGGGCAGATCCTTGTCTCTTTTCAAGTTTTATTTCTCGGCTCCTTGGTGATCTTCATGTGGCATGGCATCTGTTTCTTCCCATCTCTGCTCACTTGCTTATTCTACTCTTTTATATCTCAAAAGAAATGGATGTAAAACACACACACTGACACTGCCTCATTAACACAATAACAAAGACAACCCATTCCAAAATTGGATTACAACCACAGATGCAGGATTTAGGATTTATAACACATATTTGTGGGGGGAGGCCTAATTCAATCTACAAAATCACCAAGCCTATTGGTTCTTTCTCCTCAGTACCTTTTAGATTCAACTGGTCTTTTCTGTTCCCAGGTTAACCACCATTCCTATTTTCACATCTCGATTCTTGC